TGATGTATATAATCTTTAATAATTTATAAACATATATTTAAAAAAATCTCGCGAGTTTTTCGAAGTTTCGGAAAGTTCGAACATTTCAATACTATTTTTATTGCGATAAAGATTAAACAGTCGTCGATACAGCCTGTATAGTAAATTGTATGTTAAAATATAATTTACTATAAGCTGAAATAATTTCTTCTATAAGAAATCTATATACATAAAAATTTGTAGTAAAAAATAATTAAAATATTTGTAACTGTCGTATGATCAAATTACATATCGCAGTAGATACAGAAAATTCGAAATATCCTACATCTTAAAATTGAATAATATCTTAATTATTTACTAAAATTTACTCATACTTCTTGCTTGTAATCTTCTTTCATTTACTCTAAAATGGTCTATAAAATAATACGATTGAGAACCACCGGACCCAAACAGTCTATAGTTTATTACACTTCTCCCTGTGCAAATGCAAAATTACGATAGATCAAAGAAACAGTTTCAGTGATTAGGCTCCGTGACTTCGTTAAATAGTGGTGTCAACGAATCCATATCTTGCAGGCCGTCGAAATTACCGAGAGGGTCCAGATCATCTGTCTCTGTATCCGTTTCTCCAAGAAAACTGGCTTCCAAGAAGTCAGCAACGTTCCTACACAGATTATTGGAAGAAGCAGTTGCGGCAGTGTCGACATCCGTGCCGGCAGTTGCGCCGGTGACAGTAGCAACAGCAACATTTATAGTGTCGCTTTGTAAACTGAGAGAATTAAGAATGGGACTGGAAAGTATCGGCTCGCCTGGATCTTGATACACCTCTTGTGATTGTACTGTATGCAGAGGCGTTGATGGGTACGATCTAGAACCATTGCTATCCTCGATATACGATGGCGTATATGCTGACACTGGCGCCGGCAATGGCGTGTTAGGATACGAACGTGATTGAATTATTTTCTGTAATGCACTACCAGCATCACTGAGGATACTTGATGGATCTAACATATCTTCCTCCGATAGATTTAGATTGGTATTTGGTAAAGCAAGATTGATCGCATTGTTCAATGTCTCTTCCGTAGTCTGTTCAGGCAACATTTGCAAATTCGGCTGGCCTTCCTCGTCCAGAATTGTAAGAATATTATTAATGTTTTCAGATGTGATCCCTTTGTCTGTCATTAAAAATTGCTGCTCATCTGACATAAAGTTTGCGTCATCCAATAAGTACGTGCTTTCTTGTCCAATGGAAGGACCGAAGTCGTTATATTCGCTCGGTACTGGAGTAGGCGCAACGGAACTGCTCGTTGATAGATTGAAGCTTTGACTTTGCACAGTCGATAGGCTATGTTGTGTCGAGATTGGGGATATTACGGATTGCACGGGATTCACCATCCTATGCAATGGTACCGATTGTGATCTGTAGAATAATTGTTCATTGCTCAAATGTCTGCTAGCATGAAGAAGCTCTGTGATTTCCTGATCAGGCGGGGGTGGCTGGCCTTTTTGATACACATTCTTGATTTCTTGTAAATTCTCTTGGCTCGGATAATTGATCAGTAATTGTTTCTGTGGTGTTAGATCCAAAAATGCAGTGCACGGCGATCCCTTTAGAACGACCTGCATCGAAAAATATGAAATTTTATAATGCGCTTTATTTTCAATTTGCAAGATTTTTTGATATCATTACTTTCATACAAAAACCAAGTTTTTTAACAATATAATTCTGTTCGACACACGCGTGAATTTAAAGTGAATGGCCTTTAAATTTGTATCTCAAAAATCATTATCGCACAGAAAGTTCCCAATTTCTTAAATATAATTGTCAAAAAGATTTAGATCTGCAGTTAAACGTTCGTATTTTTAATTCGTTCAAACTAAAAAATTTCTCTATTAATAATTTTTCCATATTTATTCCATATACTTATTTCAATACACGGGCACACAATGAAAATATGATATTTATTATATAAATATTCTCATTCTACCCATACATGACCAAAGAGCAAATATGAAGTAATAGTTGAATAATGTTTAAATTATTAAAGATATAAATAATATTAAAAATATTGAAAAGATACACAAATATATGAAAAAAGGAGGTATTAAAAATACAAAGACCTGACTGCAATAATCGAGTTTATCTGTATTTGCTTTCTGCCTCACCTGCGACGAATTGGTCGTTGCAATTGTTAGCACGTGTCGCGTTGGTTCCGCTCCACTGGATGTTGGTACGATAAAGGTGTCTGTCGTCTTGATGGTATACGGCACATTGCACGAGATGGAGCGAGAGAGCGTCTTTTGACCGCGCGTTCTAGAACTGACAGCTTGCAAATTACTGCGAGATCTTGGCACTGGGGTATTACGCGGTGATACGAATGGACTGGCATTCGCTGAATTTGACTTGGACGCCCGACCATTAATCGGAGAATGCGGTCCGGGCGAGATGGGGGTGAAGTTGAATATCCTACGCCGCGTATTCGGACTCTGTGGTACAGTATTGGCCACACTCTGTGTTGCTGCCTCTTGGGCATGTTCGACGACATTCGTTTCAAAGCTAACGCGACGACGAGTATTGCTTGGATTATGATTTAAAAGAGTCGAAAGAATGAGATTGTTGTGTTTCTGCGAAGAGTCCCGTTTTTCCGTGGCAACAGTTTGCCGAACGATAGTTGCAGGCGCTAGATCAGCGGCAATAGTAGACGCCTTTAAATTCTGTTGTAATATCAATCGTAATTGCGACACCTTGTCCGATCGAGAAATCTGTTCGGCATCAGAACCAATGACGCCGGTTTCCACATCAGAGCTAGACGAGCTGCTCTGTTGAAAGTACTGCAGCAACTCTTCCTCTTGCTCCTGCGAATTGTTTCCACCATTTAAATAATCGTCCAAGGCATCCGTATCGATGTCTCGAACCTTTTCATTTTTGAAGACCGGCGTATCCTGCAAGAGGCGGATCTGATCCTTCGTGAGAAGTCCTGAGGTTGTTTCTACTGCACCGGTGGCGGAACAACTCGACGAATCAATATCACAGTTTTTAGCGAGCTGACTGTCCGCAGCCTCTACCGCTTTGCACTTGATAGATTTTGAATTGCTAGCTAGTATCACTGATATCTTACCGGCATGTTGGATAGATGCTAGCTTGGGTAACAAGACATTGGAATGCTTCGAACTCTCTTCTGCAAGTTTCGTCTGTTTCTCGGGGCTGGACTCCTGCTGTGTTACAATTGGATTATTGGCACGTTTCCTGGAATTTTTACTTTTGATATCGCGTTGCACACTCATCATTATTCTAGGGTTGCTATTACTCTGTTTATCTTCACGCGATACTACTAGATTATCACAGTTAGATTCTTCGGAAACATTGCAGGATTGTTGCTGCTGTTGATTGCAGGTTTTTGATACCCTTTTTTGCCGGTTGTAGGCTATAGCAGACAAGTTTAACTTTGCCAATGAATTCTGTGCGATCACTGTTGTTGCTGCTGTGTTTGTACCTTGAGGTGATTGATTAGACTTGACCTTTTTGTATCCTTTGCTAATATTTCCTTTACCTTCAATGACTTTTTCTTTATTCTAGGGGAAAAAAATTATTCTGAATATATAATTATACTCTCGATTAATCGTAATTAAAAATGTTTCATACATATCCTAACTCTTTTAATCTCATTATTAAAAAGAATTTTTGAAATTAAATATCTTGAAAATAAAAAAATAAAAATTTGCATTGTGCTTCTCTAATTTCTTTATCTAAAAATAGAAAAACAGAAAAAAATAAAGGCTAAGTCTATTTGCATATTTCCTTTTTCATATATAAGCTATACAGAGATAGTATAAAATATACCTGTACGATAGTGTCGAGATGACGACGTTTCTGATCCTTTATATGCTCCCGTTGCTGAAGCTTGCGTTGCAACTGTAATTGAGCCTCTCGGAGTTTAGCAGGCTTAACACTCACAGGTATTGTTGGTAGATCCGAAATTGCCTCTAAATAATAAACTTAACAATTAACAATTAACTTAACAATTAAGAATTTTCAAAGTGAATAATTGAAATGCAAAAGTTTATGAGAAACTTGTTTTATTAAACTAATATTTGAT